GTTCCTGTGTCCACTTTCAAAGTTCCTGTTAGAGCTTTTACTCAAGAAGGAACTAAGCCTGTAGTTCTGTGTCACTTTTGCAAAGTCCCTAGCTGAGCATTTTCTTTGGGCAGCACTAGCCCTTTATTGCCTGTGCTACGTTTATAAAGTTTCCATCTTTAGCTTTTACTTTGGATGGAACTAGCCCTTTAGTTCCTGGGTCGCATTTTCAATGTTCTTGTCAAAGCTTTCACTCATGACAGAAATAGCCCTTTGGTTCCTGTGTCACATTATCAAAGATCCTGTCAGAGCTTTTGCTCAGGTCATAACTCCGCCTTTAGTTCCTGTGTCTTCTTGTCAAAGTTCCTGGCTGAGCTTTTACACAGGATGGAACTAGCCCTTTGGTTCCTGTGTCACATTATCAAAGTTCCTCCCAGAACTTTTACTTGAACGGAATAGTCCTTTAGCTCCTGTGTCACATTTTCAAAGTTCCTATTAGAGCTTATACTCCGGACATAGCTTGGACTTTAGTTCTTGTGTTACCTTTTGAAAGTTTCTGGCAAAGCTTTTACTCATGACGGAACTACCCTTTCCTTCCAACTTTTTTCAATGTTGTTGTCTGATCATTTACTTTGGATGGAATTGGCCTTTAACTGCTGTGTTGCTGCTTCAAAGTTCCTGTCAAAGCTTTTATTCATGATGGAAGTACCCTTTGCTTCCTGTGTCACCTATTCATAGTTCCTCTGAGAGCTTTTACTCAGGACATAACTTGGCCTCAGTTCCTGTGACACCTTTTCAAAGTTCCTGCCAAAAGTTTACTAAGATGGGAACTACCCCTGTTGTTCCTGTGTCACATTTTCAAAGTTTCTCCCAGAGCTTTCACTAGAACAGACTGTCCCTTTACTTCCTGTGTCACCTTTTCAAAGTTCCTGTTAGACCTTATACTCAAGATGGAATTAGCCCTGTAGTTCCTGTGCCATGGAACCAGTGCTTTAGTTCCTGTGTCACCTATTCAAAGTTCCTGTCAAAGCTTTTACTCAGGATGTAACTTTGTAGTTCCTGTGTCAGTTTTTAAAGCTCCTGTCTGAGTTTTTACTTTAAGAGAACTAGCACTCTAGTCCCTGTGTCACCTTTCAAAGTTACTGTCAGAGCTTTTACTCAGGATATAACTTGGCCTTTAGTTCCTGAGTCACCTTTTCATATTTCCTTCCAAAGCTTTTACTCAGGATGGTCTAACCATTTGGTTCCTTTGTTGCATTTTCAAAGTTCCTCCCAGATCTTTTACTAGAATAGACTAGTCCTTTAGTTCCTATATCACATTTTCAAAGATCCTCCCAGAGCTTTTGCTAGAATGGACTAACCCTTTACTTCCTGTGTAACCTATTCAAAGTTCTCGCCAAAGATTTTAATAAGAATGAACTAGCCCTTTAGTTGCTGTCACATTTTCAAAGTCCTTAATAAAGCATTACTCAGAATAAAACTATC